GAGGAAAAAGCAAGAAAAACAGAATCCGATTTTCGTACAGCAGCAGCAGCAGCAGTCTGACAGCAGTCAACAGCAGTTACGACTTTTTATTCTTCTTTCTTTTTCAGCACTCTTCTACCACTTTTCATCTGTGCTTTGGCCAAAGCTCTTCTCTGCTCAAAAATGACCACTTTTTATTTATTCGTCCTCATCTTCTTCTTCTTTTTCTTCTTCTTTATTGCCCTCCCTCTCTCNAAGCTCTTCTCTGCTCAAAAATGACCACTTTTTATTTATTCGTCCTCATCTTCTTCTTCTTTTTCTTCTTCTTTATTGCCCTCCCTCTCTCCATCTCCAGCCAACCATCCATCGAATACGACTGCGACCAACCATCAACTCGCGACCCCATCTCGCAATCGAAATCTTTGCCAGTGTTCACTGAGCAAAAATGAATAAAAAGAAGAAGATGATGAGGAAAAAGGAAAGAATCAGCAATCTCCTCCACCAATTTTGTTGCAGTTTAGTGTGTTCTTTTTCCTCTTTCTGCATCTTTTGGCTTTTTAAAGTACAAAACAGTGCAAAAAATAGTTCGACGAATCGAGCAAATAGTTCCCCTCCTCATCTTCTTCAGCCTTTTCTTCAAATCGCTCTGCTTTGCTTGAACAGTGAACAAAGTGAGAGAGGCTTAATTAAAGACTCTGGTAGTGGTAGTTGAAAACAAAAAAACCTCAGTTGTAATCACCACCGAACAAAGTACTGTACTGAAAACACAGCGAGCGAGCGAGCGAGCGATGATTTGCTACATGTTTGCAGCCTGCTTCTGAGGAAAGGATAAGAAAAAGGAAAAGTCGGAATAGCTAAAAACACTCGCAGATTAGGCGCCGAAAAGAACGACAACGAGAACAACGACGACAACGGCGACAACGAGGGCGACGATGGCGACGAAGAAGAAAAAGCAAAGAAAGAAAAGCAAAGAAAAGGCACAGAAAAATGGCAAAGAAAGGGCGCGCATTTTTGCTTCTGTTGCTGCTGCTCGTTTCGATCATTAATAAGATTGTGTAAGTGTGTGTTTGGTGTTCGGTGTGCTGCCTGTTGACGCAAGCGGTGCACCGATGATTTCATGCAAGTACTTTTGTGAGTGTGTGCTATACCAAAAAAAAGTGGAAAGGGCATCAAATTAAAAAACTGCACCCCGAGCAGCAGCAGCAGCAGCAGCAGCAGGCAAATGAACTCTCGTACAGTTCCCTTTCTCTTTTCTCTTTTTGATTTTTGCTAGTTTTTGCATTCGTCTCATTCTCCCATCGCTCTTCTTCCGTCTTCTCGCTGCTAATTGCCATGTTATTCTCATTGCTAAATCGCTTTTTCTTTTTCTTATTAATAGAACAGACTGTGAGAGAATAAAAGAGAAAGAATCAGTGTGTGCATCGACAAAGCGTCGCATCGCATCATTTCCCAAGTGTCGATCAGCAGCAGCACACTAAATAACCTCCAACTCTGGAGGGCTCTTCAGAGTCGTCCTCGAGGAGACAACTGCAAGTGACAGAGAGAGGTTCAACAGTACAGTACAACAGTGTAATCCTCCCTCCCCCTTCCATGCACTTTCCATTAAAAGCTTCCACCATTTGCTAAGCTTCCTTCCTTCCAGTACCAGTAATTTCACTCTTGGAATTAGCGAAAAGGTTGCGACAGACTCAGACTCTGGCAGACAGACAGACAGACGTAGTTTGGGTGCCAATGAGTGCTGCTGGGGCAACTGATTCATTCGCTTCGTTTTTTGCCCACTTCAGCAGCAGCAGCAGCAGCAGTCAGACAAACAAGAGGATTAGTGAGTGAGGAAAATTAAGAAAAAGAAAGAAAAGAAAGGAGAAAGAAGCGGGAAAGAGGCTCAAGAAAAGTAGCCAGCGAGAAACGGTTTTTGGATAGTTTAGCGAAAAGCAACAAGATGCGAACATTTCGCCAATGGAACAGTTGGCCAATTAGTTGTTGGAAAAGCTGCAGCAGCACTGCAAATTCAATGCCCAAAAATAGAAACAGTTGGGTACTGCAACATATGCAAAGGGATTGTTTAGCAAGAACCAGGAAGAGATTAAAGACAGTGAAACGTAGAGAAAACATATAATTTCAACAACATTCAACAACAATTTTTGTATAAATTAATAAGCAGAAGATAAGAAGATAAGGAGGAAGGGTGTAACTGAAGTGGTTTCAGTGTTTCAGATGCAGCAGAAATCAATCTAGCAAAATATAAAATCTTCTTTTTTTGTTATCAAATCAAATCGAGAAGTGTAGTCAACGAGAGAGAGANTAATTTCAACAACATTCAACAACAATTTTTGTATAAATTAATAAGCAGAAGATAAGGAGATAAGGAGGAAGGGTGTAACTGAAGTGGTTTCAGTATTTCAGATGCAGCAGAAATCAATCTAGCAAAATATAAAATCTTCTTTTTTTCTTATCAAATCGAGAAGTGTAGTCAACGAGAGAGAGAGAGAGAGAGAGAGAGAGAGAGAGAGAGATGGAGAGGAGAGTGAGAGAATCGGAATCGAAAAAACAACAAGAAAAAATATCAACAGTAAAATAGAAAAATCAAAGAGTGGAGAGAAGTGAGAGTGTGTGTGTGTGGATGAGCATAAAGCTAAACAGAATCAACAGAATGGCTAGAATAGGAAAAAATAGAATGTGTCTGTAGAAGATGGCAGGCTAGCGAAAAACACAAATTTCATCATCACCACCACTGTAAACAGTGTTTCAACGGGTGCTGTTCGTGACTAAGCCGAAGAAGAAGAAGAAGAGGAGGAGGAGGAGGAGGAAGTCTGGAAGCGCCAGAAAACAAACAACAAAATAGAACAACAAAGTTTCTGGTCGTCGTCGTCACTTACTTCTTTTCACTTCTAANATCACCACCACTGTAAACAGTGTTTCAACGGGTGCTGTTCGTGACTAAGCTGAAGAAGAAGAAGAGGAGGAAGTCGGGAAGCGCCAGACAAACAGACAAACAACAACAACAACAAAATAGAACAACAAAGTTTCTGGCCGTCGTCGTCGTCACTTACTTCTTTTCTTTTCTAGATGGGCCGATACGTGCCCACCGGTCGGTGGAAGATCTGCCCGGTGGCGAGGCGGCGAAGGACCTCGGTGGCGAGCAGCTTCCGCTCCTTCTTCGAGTTGGCCAGCACGCCGTGGTTCTCCAGCGCCCGCCGCGAGAGGTAGGGGATGACCTCGTCGATTGGTCCGTAGGGAACGTACTTGTACACCGAGTAGCCCGATTGTCCTGCAGGAAAAATGCCACAGATTTACAGTTAAAATTAAAATAAAAGAGCTAAACACAAAAAAGATTCTAAAAGAAAACAAAGCAAGCAAGCACTCACCCAAATTGAAGCTCACTTGGTCGCTCATGCCGTAGAGCTGGCCAAAGCAGATTACGCGATCCTCAGGCGTAATGTCCAGCTCCTGCATTCTATAAATAGAGAAGGCCAATCATATAATAATCACCCTAGAAACCCCCTCTCCCAAAAGAAAATAGCCGCCCACTCACTTCTTAATGGTATAGCGGACCGTGTCCTCATTGTGCGAGGCGACCATAATGGCGTAGCGCTTATTCTTCAGCCCACTCTCCAGTATGTTGGCCATGAAGAAGTCGAGGCAGCGCTCGTACATCTCGGTGGTCGCCTGGTAGCTGGGGTTGACCGGGTCCTCGTAGCCGAGCGTCTTCGCCCGCAGCCGTTCCTGTTCCATGTAGGCGCCTCGCACTAGCTTGGCGCCAAAGTAGAAGCCCTGGCGGCGGGAGAGCTCCACGTCAATCTGGCAGGTCTCGTAGGCGCTCTAAGGCGGGAAGAGAAAGAAAAAAAAGAAGGAGAAG